TCTCTTCTATTTTACTACCTTTGTCTGTCATAACTTATAATGAATAAGATGAACTGATGAGCACATTGACCGTTGCAATGGCTATTCTCTACCGGTCTCTCATTAGGATATGAAACAAAATCATCTCCTGGAACTCACCAGACATAAAATCCTTGATTCGTCAATGTAGTGAGAAGTCATCATGATACCTATTTAAAATTTAAAGTAAACAGCTGCCTGTAATGATAAAAACGTACATTAACAATTGTACTTATAAAGATAAAAGCTAATATAGAAAAAGACACACAAGTTAGGCTGATAACATCCTATTAAGCAGGATCATAATATGAGTAATTTTAAAATGAACACAACATGAAAGGGTTTTTTAAATTTATCTTTCAGGCTTATAATTAAAAAAACAAAAACAAAAACAAAAACCTATGTGGCACCTACCTTCAAAACAGAAAGTCTAGTGGGCTTTCCTAAAAGTCTTTCAGGCTTATAATTAAAAAAACAAAAACCTATGTGGCACCTACCTTCAAAACAGAAAGTCTAGTGGGCTTTCCTAAAATTTTGCAGTAGTAGAGAGGATGGAGAGAAATTACTCAATGGGAAGAAAAAGAAATAACTAAATTATCCAGTAGGTTAACATTAGTAATTTAATCACAGGTCAGATTTTAAAATATTTGCCTGCCTTGTTATTCCAGAAAAGTTGTATCATAAACTGAGCTGAAGAAATTGAACAATTTAGCTGCAGAAATTTGAAAATGATATCATATAGCTTTCTGGTCCAACTGAAGATTTGCTTGTCTACCTGACTATACTGCATATGAAGGAAGGAAATAAATCATCATTTATTTTTCTCTTTAATTGCTAATATTAAACTGTCAAATAATTAAATAAATTATTAATTTATTAATATTTAATCAGTGATAAATATTATAATGTGTAACTACATCTAAACACACAGATTTAAAATTATATATATCTTCAAAAATTATGCTATATTTCAGGTTTTTTGAACTCATACAGAAATATTTGTACAAAAATCATAGGCAAGTTTAGAAAATAAATAATGGAAAGAAAGTAACCCAGTTTCACTAACTAAAATTTATCATATTTTTAAAATAATTTGCTATGTTTATTTATTTTTTGGCACATGTAGAAAATGAATAACAGAATGTATAATAAGAAAATGTAAAAGCTATAAACTAAAAATTGGTTTAATGGTTGTGATATTTAGAAAAATATAGTGAATCTCCTATTTTAGCTGAGAATATTGATTTTGGTATGGATTTATCATTTTCAAATTTTTCAACCCAGTGCTTCTGTACAGATTGTAACTCATTGTCGTATGTTTCCAATCATAGTACAGTGTTCCTTCTAGAGTATTAATTGCCTGAGGACGGAAGCATTGTGTATCTTCTTCAGTATTGTATTCCCAACTCTTAGAGCAGGGACTGTGCCTGTACATAGTTGATGCTCAAAAAATATTCGTTGAACAAGTGACTATTAAGGATCATTAACTTTTATGGAAAGGAGTGTGATATGATTCCTTTTCTGGAGATACCAGATAGTGTTAGATCACAAAATGCCAATAAGTGTTAGATCAAATGTTAGATTCATTTGACTTAATGGAGTTTTAAACCAAGACCAAATGAGAATTCTGAAATGAGAATGATAACAATATCAACATCATCATATTATTTACTATCATCACAATATTTACTATGGGAAAACTTACCGAGTTCAATATATATTCCAGCCATTTTGTTAGTCATTTTCAAAGACTGTCTTATTTTAGCCGTGCAAAAAATACTATATTTCTTTTATACCAAAGGAAATTGTAACTATGAGAGATTGATAAGATTACCCAAGTTCACTCAGCAGGCAAATAGGAAAGCAAGCAATCACATCCAGATATGTTTCAAAAGTTTTGCTTTTTCTTCTCTACCATATTCTTCCTCAATTTTATGTTTATTACTAACAATATTTATATGATTGCATGGTACATATGTTCATGGAAGATTATGCAATTCTAACATTGTTGAAGAAATTTTTTAACTTTTTAAAAAAATTTCAATATAAAAATTTCTGAACATATTAAAAAAGTAACAAAACCAACGTCCAACTTCAATACCAATCCACATTTTTTTTTTTTCCTTTTTGTCTTTTTTCGTGTCTGGCAACGGATCGCAACCCTCAGTGTCGCGCCCGTACCAGACCGGGACCGGCAACAGAATCGCGACCCTCGGTGTTGCGCCCGCACCTCACTCAGCCAGTGAGCAGGAACCGGTCTGTATGTGGGATCCAAACCCTTGGCAGGAGCGCCGCCACGCTCCCAAGCGGCGCACTGTAGCAGTGCGCCACCGGGCCAGCCCCCAATCCACATTTTTGTATAATTTCATCTATTCTCCTGTTTTCTTTTGTATTTGTCTGCTGCTGTTTTAAAACAAATCCCAGACATCATATCATTTCTTCTCTAAATGTTTCAGTAAACAATCTAAAATAAATAAGTGAGGATCCTTTGTTATGCAACCACAACTGAATTTTTACACTAAACAAAAATTTTAAATAATCCTTACTATCATGTAATGCTACTCCATTTTCAAATTTCCCCTGTTGTCAAAAAAAAGATCATTATGCAGTTAGATTACATTTGTATCAAGATCTGAACAAAATTCACTCACATTCTCTCAAGTCCTTTCAATCAAAACATACCCATATTCTTTTTCTTTCTTTTTATTTTTTATGCAATAGATTTATTGAAAAAACTGAACCAGTTGTACTGGAAAATGTCTTATGCTTTGAACATACTACCTACCTTTACTCTTCACATATTCTATGGATGAGAAGTTAAATGTAAAGACTTTTATATAGATTCAAGTTCAATTCATTTGTGGAAGACAGAAATAATATTTCACTCATTCATGGCCCTCACTCCCCAGGGAGAGCATTAATCCATTCATGAGGGATCCACCCCCATGACTCAAACAGCTCCCAACACTGCTATATTGGGGATGAGTTTTGGGGGGATAATAGCATCCAAACTCCATCACATATCATAGGCACATAAAGTCTGGCTGTTACACTCTTAAGGATCCTAAGATTGACCAGTGGGCTGATTAGAGAAAGAGAGAAAGAAATTAAACAAAACTTTTTGGATATGATATTTGGTTAAAATGATACTAAGTCACTACTCTGGAAATTGGAAATTGGTTATTAAAGAAAAAAAACCCATTCATCCTACATTTCTAATATGAACTATATTTAAGAGTACTCAAATAGTCCAAATGAATGAGGAAGAGTTATTCTAAAAAACCACTAATAGTTCACTCGCGAAAAGTAGCAAGAAAATAGTAGGAATTTTTTTAGTCCAATCACCTCATAAATATTTTTAATATTTTACATTTATCAAGCTTATGAATGACTACACATTCTTCTACTTTGTAGACCTTTCTAAAGATTAACTAATTTGAAATTCAGGAAAATTTTAACACAAAGATATCTAACATTAAATATGTAATTCTACTGCTTTCTATGTCTCTTTCAACATTTCATTCTAGATATACATTTTTACATATTCAACTGCACATATCTGAGTATATGTATCCATATTTGAATGATCATACAGGTCAGACTATAAAGTTAATAAATATATGTTTTTCACTTATTTTTTGTATTAATAAATGTCATTATAAAAGCTATGCATCTAAAAAGAGTGCCTTTCAAAATTAGATACAAGAGATGATAGAATATGACCTTTTTGTACGACAATTATTCCTTCATTGCAATCTTCTATCTCCTGTCAGAAATACGATGTGCCATGTTTTTCACCCTACATACAAATGTGTCACTTTGTCACAAGATAGTTCGATCGAGTAGAAACAGTATCCAAAGGCAAGACAGATTCATCTCAAATGAAAGTAATTATTAATGAATATACAAGGGAACTTGAAAAAATTAGTAGAAAAATGGAATTAAAAGATAAAAATTAAAAATATAAACTTTATTTTTAAACATAATCTTCATCAAGTTCAAGACACTTTTGTAAGTGGTGAAACCAGCCCTAAAGAACTAAGTCCAACCCTAAAGAACTAAGAGTCCTGGGAATTGAACTATGTCAATGCAGTCTTTTTGCATTATTAACTAAAGAAAAAATGGGTGCCCTTTAAAGATTTTTTAAGATTAGAAAACAAAATGAAATTAGAAGCCAAATCAGGACTTTATGATGGATGCCTAATGATTTCTCAGAGAAACTGCACAAAATTGCCCATTTGATGAGAGAAATGAGCAGGAGCATTGTCGTGGCGGAGAACTCTTATGAAGCATGCCTTTTTCTGTTAAAGCTCTGGCTAACTTTCTCAAAACACTCTCATAATAAGCAGATGTCATCATTCTTTGATCCTCCAGAAATTCAACAAGCAAAATGCCTTGAGCATACCAAAAATCTGTTCCCATGACCTTTGCTGTTGACCAATCCACTTTTTCTTTGATTGGATCATTTCTACCTCTTGGTAGCCATTGTTTTGTTCATGGTTTGTGTTCAAGATTGTACTGAAAAAGCATTTGCTGTTGACCAATCCACTTTTTCTTTGATTGGATCACTTCTACCTCTTGGTAGCCATTGTTTTGTTCATGGTTTGTGTTCAAGATTGTACTGAAAAAGCCATGTTTCACCTTCTGCTACAGTTCTTCAAAGAAATGCTTCAGGATCTTGATCCCACTTGTTTAAAACGTCTATTGAAAGCTCTGCTCTTATCTGCAGCTTATCTAGGCATGACAGTTTTGGCGTCCATCAAGCAGGAAGTTTGCTCAACAGCAATTTTTCAGTCATATTTGTGTTAGTTGAACCAATTGAGATGTCTACGATGCCAGCTATTGTTTCTGCTGTTAATTGCATCAGTGATGTCACCATTTTTCTACCCAAGCTTCACCATAAATTTGATGTTTGTTCTTGCTTCAATTTTAGCAGAATTCATGTTGCTGTGATAGGAGCTCTTTTCAAACTGATGTCTTACCTTCTTAGTACCTCCAACTAGATCCTCTTTAGACATGGTTTTAACAAGATAGTACAAGTTTATTTTTTATTTTATTTTATTTTATTTTTTGTTTGTGACCAGTAAGGGTATCGCTACAAAATTCAGCAGCTAACCCTTGGCTTGGTGTCGTCCGCACCACGCTCAGCCAGTGAGCGCACCGGCCATCACTATACAGGATCCGAACCTGAGGCAGGAGTGCCACTGCGCTCCCAGCACCGCACTCTCCCGAGTGAGCCACTGGTCGGCCCAGTACAAGTTTATTTTGATGCAAAAAAAATTTGAAATTCATGCATAGATTTTTCTTCTCACACATTTTCCATGAACTTATCTGTGATGAGATATTCATGTCTCTCTTAGTCTAATTCAACTTTATATAAAAATTACTCTTTTGGGGAATATGTACTGGGAACTTTTTCACTGCACACTCCTTTAAAGAGCAGGCTTATTATTATCGCTACAAAATTCAGCAGCTATAGATTCAATAAATCCTACCAGAATTAGCAATATCTATACTTTAATAACAGTTTATTTAGATTCATAAGCAATGCTTGAAGTCCCCAATTGCAACGAATACTTCGTTTATTAGCTTTCTTTCTATGCAGAAATACTGCTGGGTCCCTAATGCAGAGATTGTTTCTAACTCAACATGGATCTCTAGAAATGGGCACTGAGGAAGGACTCCATACAGATTTATTGAATAAATGCATTTTTAAATAGAAGAATTTCTTACCTGCCTGAAAAGATTTAAATTAAGTATTAACCATGTTTGCTTTTTGGAGATAAATATTTAAGCCAATGATCATCCGATTCAGTCATTATACAAAATCAGCCTAACTAGCAAAGGCAGAGTTTTAAATCCAACACAGTTGAGTTGTCTGTTCTTACAAGACAGTTTTCAAAGGAATTAGAAGTGTTATGCTTATACCATCTGGAAGAGATGATTGTTCATTGAAACTTTTACAAAGATCAGATGTGCATCCATATCCCTGCTTTACTTTACCATCATAGAATCAGATATCTGTTGCTATAGTCAGTTTTTTAAAATTTATGTATTTTCTATTGTTTACTGTTACCTATCAAATAAAAAATGGATGGGTTATTGTAATTCAAAAGTAAAGGTCCAAAAATTATCTCTGCTTACTTTTCTCTTATAAAAAATTAGCATGATTCCATCATTTGATTTATATTTGTCCTTATCACATTCATGTTGGAATAATGAAAATTTTTAAATTATGGAAATTCACTGATATGTTTTTAATAATGAATAAACCATCTAAAACTACAGAAAAAATTCAAGTGTCAAAAGTAAATAGAAAATACAAAGAAAAAACTGTAACCAGGCATGAAAGCTTTCTTTTTATTTATTTTTCTCTGATGGACATCATGCTGATAGTAAATTAAACATTGTTCAGCTTTGTTCTCTCTCTGGACTAAAAATGTGCATTAACAGAGAGGAACAGAGAAGAAATTTCCCTTCCTATTTGTCATTCTGTCCTTCTGTGTCACTCTGTAAATTCTGTCCTATAAAGAATTTATCTATACTTTTAGACCTTGCCATTCATTTCTTTGAAAGTTAAATAATGCACAGAGGGAATCTACATTTTCAGGAAATACAGGGCCTATACACTAGGCAAAATGCATAACATTTTGCAGAGATGCATTTTAGAATTTTTTGTAATTACATTTTCTGATATATTCACTGAATNCCATCTGGAAGAGATGATTGTTCATTGAAACTTTTACAAAGATCAGATGTGCATCCATATCGCTGCTTTACTTTACCATCATAGAATCAGATATCTGTTGCTATAATCAGTTTTTTAAAATTTATGTCTTTTCGGGCCGGCCCGGTGGCGCACTGGATAGTGCGCCGCTTGGGAAGCGCGGCGGCGCTCCCGCCAAGGGTTCAGATCCCACATACAGACCGGTTCCCGCTCACTGGCTGAGCGAGGCACGGGAGCGACGCCGAGGGTTGCAGTCCCGTTGCCGGTCCCCGGTCCAGTGCGGGGGCAACACTGAGGGTTGCGATTCGTTGCCGGACACGGAAAAAGACAAAAGACAAAAAAAAAAAAAATTTATGTCTTTTCTATTGTTAACTGTTACCTATCAAATAAAAAATGGATGGGTTACTGTAATTCAAAAGTAAAGGTCCAAAAATTATCTCTGCTTACTTTTCTTTTATAAAAAATTAGCATGATTCCATCATTTGATTTATATTTGTCCTTATCACATTCATGTTGGAATAATGAAAATTTTTAAATTATGGAAATTCACTGATATGTTTTTAATAATGAATAAACCATCTAAAACTACAGAAAAAAATTCAAGTGTCAAAAGTAAATAGAAAATACAAAGAAAAAATTGTAACCAGGCATGAAAGCTTTCTTTTTATTTATTTTTCTCTGATGGACATCATGCTGATAGTAAATTAAACATTGTTCAGCTTTGTTCTAAAAATGTGCATTAACAGAGAGGAACAGAGAAGAAATTTCCCTTCCTATTTGTCATTCTGTCCTTCTGTGTCACTCTGTAAATTCTGTCCTATACAGAATTTATCTATACTTTTAGACCTTGCCATTCATTTATTTGAAAGTTAAATAATGCACAGAGGGAATCTACATTTTCAGAAAATACAGGGCCTATACACTAGGCAAAATGCATAATATTTTGCAGAGATGCATTTTAGAATTTTTTGTAATTACATTTTCTGATATATTCACTGAATGTGCTCGTTATATATTAGGTTTCTTATTTTAATCTTATCTCAACAGATTTATGGCTTTTAAAGTAGAAACTAGAAATTTAGCCAAACATTTTACCATGTGTTATTTAACTCTATTTGATACATTAAATCACATCATAGATATCAGAATAAATAGATATTCCAAGATAGATTGTTTAAGAAATCAATTTTAGTTTTTTTTTGTTTGTTTGTTTTTCCTTTTTGTCTTTTTTACTGACCAGTAACGGGATCGCAACCCTCGGTGTTGCGCCCACACCGTGCTCAGCCAGTGAGCGGGAACCGGTCTCCACATGGGATCCGAACCCTTGGCGGGAGCGCCGCCGCGCTCCCAAGCAGTGCAATTTTAGTTTTTAACACACACAAATGCATGCACACATACACAGATTTCATGTGTTGTATTTATTTTTTAAAATGGTTAAAGCTGTATGCTATTCTAATCCCCACTTGCATATAAACTCTTATTTAACCAAATTTTAGACTTT